ACGGGGCACTGCAGCCGGCCGCCGGGGGCGCTCACAGCCTCTGGCTACGCCTACCCCTCACCTCAGCGTTGGAGCTGACCCGGAAAAGGAGGATCCGGGTCGGCTGGGGGACGGCCCGTGTGGACCCTCTCGAGGCGCGCCCAATGCGGTGCCACAAGTGCCTCGAGAGGGGCCACACGAGGGTCACCTGTCCCGGCACAGTGGACAGGAGCGGGAGGTGTTATCTGTGCGGCGGCACTGGTCACACCTCCCGCGATTGCCGGTCTGCCCCCAAATGCCCGCTGTGTGCGGACAAGGGCAGGCCGGCAAAGCACGTCCTGGGCGCACCGTCGTGCGCCCAGAAAAACGTGCGCGGGAAGCCGCCGGGGCAGGGAGCCAAGGAGCAGGCCCCGGCCACCGGTGCTCCCCCCCCGGCCGAAGTGCGACCGGTGGCGGAGAGTAGAGAGGAGACGGGTGGCTCGGCGGAGGAGCCACGACCACAGCGCCAACACAAGTCGCCGGAAGAGAGGGCCTTGCCTCCATTGGAGGCCATGGAGGTGGAGGCCCCATCGGACGGGGGGGACAATCAGGCCGAGTAATGCCTCGCTCTCCCCCCCGTCCGAACTTGAACGGGTTTGGCCTTCAGGCCAATGTAAACCACTCTCCACATGCTCAAGACTTGCTCCATCAGAGCATGGTGGAGAGTGGTTTTACGCTGGCGATCGTGGCCGAGCCCCACCGCCCCCCGAGGCGCAGCCTATACTGGGCTGTCGATAACGGGCGGGCGGGGGACGCGGTCGCGATACGATGGCGGTCCGTGCCGGGTGGTCCCGACACGGCCGCCATTGAACGAGGTGAGCGGCATGTGGCCGTTCAATGGGGGCCCATCGCGGTCGTGGGGGTCTATTTAAGGCCCACCAGGAGCCTTGCCCCGTTCAAGGACTGGCTATTGGACATAGGGCAGACGGTCCTACGTCTGAGTCCAAGGCCGGTCCTCGTTGCCGGGGACTTCAACGCGTGGCACACGAGTTGGGGTTCCCGGCGCGACAACGGGAAGGGCAGGGCCCTGGACGAGTGGGCGGCGACGCACGGTCTGGTCCTAGTCAACGAGGGCCGGACCTCCACCTGCGTGCGGACGCAGGGGGAGTCCATCGTGGATCTCACGTGGGCTACCCCCTCGGCCGCGCGCCTTATTACAGGGTGGAGGGTGGAGGAGGGCATCGAGACTCTGTCTGACCACCGTTATATAACGGTGGAGCTCGGTGCCCTCTCCTCCGCGCCAGGAGACGCGACCGCGATGGGCCCTCAAGAAACTCTGCGAGGACGCCCTGATGGCCTCGTTAGAGGCCGCCTGTTGAGTCCGGGGAAGTTTCCCCGAGACCCGGGAGACGGACCCCTTGCAAGAGGCCGAGTGGATCGGGGCAGCG